CACTTTTAAATTAATATATGTAGCCCCACTCAGCAGTTTTCATTATTTAGTATCCATGTCAAATGGAAAATATGTATCATTAACCCACTTTTTCTTCCATATCATTTTTACCATTTTTCTTCTATATCACTCTTCAATTTTATCGATCCTATATTACATTTATCATTTTATCCTTCTATTTTATTTTCTTCCTATATATCTTTGTAATTTTTTCCATCCCGAACTATATCTCATTTTGATATGAACCTTCTCATTACTCGGGTCAAATTGTTGATGGCACAACTGTAGTCATCCTACATTTTGATTTCCTTCTATAAAACACAGTATCTAGTTGACCATAACATAATCAGATCAGATGCTCCAATATTGCCTTACCTTCCTCCTTTAGCTTAGCGACACTCTAAAATCCTCACTTGAATTGAACAAGGAATGGACCATGTATACCGCTGTATTAGCAGACATGATTTAAAATGTTACTGTAGGTGCATTCAGACCGATTAGAATGCAGGAATGTATTTGGTGGATTGAGCTAGCATTGTTTTTTGATTGGGTAGGAGCCTGGGACTGAACCTACGAAAAATAGAAAAGTCATCATTATGTAGTGTGCTACTAGTGCACTTTTTCTATGACAATCCCACACCCACCACTAAATGCACTCAGGTTCCACTTGTGTCTACGATTTCTTATTGGATTACTGAGTCAAGTGATACGAATTGAGTTTCAAACATACATGATGATTAACCATTTCTTCCATAGTCTCCTTCAAAGATTCTTATCTTTAATTTGTCGTCCATCTTCAAGTTGCACTTGCTGCTCCATGCGACTCATAAACATATTATGATAGTTATTCGGATTTCGGGTTTATAAGGGTATTTGCACACACACTCCACGTACAATAGTAAGATATTATCCATTATAAGATTAACTTTAGCAGGTTTAAGTTTTAGCCATCATCCTAAGTACCTCTCAATCAATAGAATATATGTGGACTTTATAAACTCTTGTTCTTTCTTTTACTTTATCGATATAGGATCTTATTTGTATCTCAATAATATATGAAAATTGCACTTTCACTTCCCAACTTTTTTCTAAAGGAGGAGAATGCTGTGGATGACCTTTAATGCCAATTTGGAAAATGGGCACAGAAAAGTGTCTGGTATACTGCTATACACTCTCTTTGCATGTGCCGTGCCACGAGGACCAGTGATTTAGCGGTTAAGCAGTTT